CCTCCCTCTCTCTCTCTCTCTCTCTCTCTCTCTCTGCCTTCCTGCCTCCTGCTCGCCTCCCTACAGTAAAGATCTCCTGCTGGACCTCCCGGTGTGTGAGTGGCCTAATTGGGAAGGGGCACGCGACCCCACTTTCAGGTACCAAAAAAAAAAAAGAGAGAGAGAAAGCCAGGTTTGATGGCTCACACCTGTGATCCCAGCACTGTGGAGGCTGAGGCAGGAGAATTGCTTTGAGTTTCAGTTAGCCTAGGCTACACAGTGAGTTCAAGGCCAGCCTGAACTACATAGCAAGACCCTGTCTCAAAAAACAAAAACAAAACCCCAGGGCCTGGGATCTAGCTCAGTGGTGCTGCCACCTGCCTTGTAAGTGGAAGGTCCCAAAGTTCGATCCCTAGAATCAAAAAAACAAAACCCCAAAAACAAATGAGGAAGAGCAAGAAAGAGCTTTTGGAATGATTTTCTTTACAGTTTTCCCTCACATATAACGTTTCAGGCCAGATTTGCTTGCATCATTGAGATATTTAAAGCTACTGTGCTTCTAAAGTCTCAAATTCTCTTCCAGGCTGAAAGAGAAAACAAATTCTCCTGCGGAGTCACAGGAAGAGGGAAATGCCAACGACAAAGAGGTAAGTTCTAGGGGGGAAGGGGGTGGGGACAAGGGGGAAAATGAGAACCGAGACCTGGCATGTAAAGGTACAAGATCCCAACGATGAGTGTAACTGTACTGTGTACCTAGAATGTACCAATAAACTCAATTAAAAAAAGAAAAGAAGCAAGCTCGCGGAAGAGGGTTGCTGTGACACAGATGCCCAACCAGCCCATTTGGTAAGAAGGAAAGGTGATAAAAATGCAAACAAGGGCCAGGGATTCAGCTCAGCGGTTCTGCCACCTGCCTCGCAAGCACAAGGACCCGAGTTCCATCCCGGTACCAAAAAAACAAACAAACAAACAAAAAATGCAAAAAAGCAAGAGAGTGAGCTTAACTTGTCCTGTGCATTTCACAATGAACTAGATAAGGGACTATGATAACATGTAAGATGGTATCTCAGTCAGGCATGGTGGCGCACGCCTGGGATCCCAGCACTTGGGAGGCTGAGGCAGGAGGATTGCCCTGAGTTTGAGGCCAGCCTGGGCTACATAGTGAGTTCAAGGCCAGCCTGAACTACACAGAGAGACCCTGTCTGAAGAAAGAAAAAAAAAAGGAAAAGGAAAAGAAAAAAAATGATGTTAGTTAAGACATTTAGGGCTGGGGATTTAGCTCAATGGTTCCGCTGCCTGCTTTGCAAGCACAAGATCCTGAGTTCGATCCCTGGTACCAAAAAAAAAAAAAAGAAAGAAAAAAAGACATTTAGATATTAAAGTATCTCATGTTTTTATTTTTTTGTTTTTTGGTACCGGGTATTGAACTCGGGTCCTTGCGCTTGCAAGTCAGGCCATCAAACCACTGAGCTAAATCACCAGCCCACATGCATTTTTAAAAATCACAGTGGAAAACATAACTGACTTCTTTTTATACTGGAACTCGAACTCAGAGCCTTTGCCCTAAGCTATATATCTTCACCTTTTTTCTTTTTTTCTGTTTGTTTGTTTGTTTCTTGAGACACAGTCTCACTATGTAGTTGAGACTGACCTGGAACTCACTATGTAGCCTAGGCTGGTCTCGAACCCACAGAGATCCTCCTGCCTCAGCCTCCCGAGTGCCTGGCCCAGCCCTTTTTTCTTTTGACAGAGCATCTCACTGAGTTGTTTAGCTGTGCAGGCTGGGCTTGCACTTGCCATTTTCATCCCTCGGCCTCCTAGAATGCTGGGATTATAAGTGTGGGCCATGAACCTGGCTGATATTTTCTTATCTCATTTTCTTTTTTCTTTCTTTTTTTTGGGGGGGGTGCAAGAAACCAGCTTGAAACTGAGTTGAGCAGGCTAAAATCCTAATGAATTGGTTTATAAATTGGCTATTGGACTGGGGATGCAACTCAGTAGCACAGGGCCTGCCTGGAAAGCCTTTAAGGCCCTGAGTTAGATTCCTGGTACCAAAAATAAATAAAATAAAATTGGCTATTGATTAAATTATGCATGAATCCAAGGCTTCTGTGTGAAATGCCAAATGAGCCTGCTCTGGTGCACAGAGATGGACTTCTCTGTGCCATGGGTCACAGTTGAAGTCTCAGTGAGCAATGAGGTCCTGATGCCTCTAATGCAAGGAAACACTGCAGCTGAGGGTTTACGACTCCATCCAGCCGTTCTCAAAATCACGTTGGCTCGGACCTGGCCTTCAGGAGAATGCCCCATTCCGCCCTGTCACAGCCCGGCTCAGTAGTGCTTTATTTTAGTTCTGCTATTCCCTGGTCTGCCTTTACGCCCTGCTGTGCTGGGTAAACAAGAAATACTGAGGGTCCTGGAGGAGAGGAGATCATTGTGATATCAGCCAGGAGAGAGCTAAGGCGCGGGGGAGTAGTGAACAGCCCTTGTTCTTTCTTTGTCTGTTACTCTTCATCTTCTGCTGTGGCCCAATCAGGTGACTGGGCTTTCCCCCCATGGGGGCCTGGGGACTGAACTCAGGACTTGGTGCACGCTAGGCACAAAGCAGAGCTGTATCTCCAGACATTTTATTTTTTAATTTATTTATTTTGGTTTTGTTTTTTTGGTACCGGATATCAAACTTGGGATATTGCGGTTGAACTTGGGACCTTGCTCTTGCGAGGCTGGCAGTGGAACCACTGAGCTATATCCCCAGCCCTTATTTTTATTTTTTGGGGTTTTGGAGACAGGATCTTACCATGTAGCTCAAGCCAGCCTCAACTCGTGGCAATCCTCCCGCAGTTTATCTTATTTTTTTGTTTTATTGAGACAGGAGCTCCCTATGTAGTTTAGGCTGCCCTTGAATTCACTATGTAGTACTGGCTGGTCTCAAACTCATGGTGATCCTCCTGCCTCAGCCTCCAGAGTGCTGAGATCACAGGCATGCGCCACCACACCCAGCTTTATTTTTATTTTTTTGAAACCAGGTTTAGCTAACTTGCCTATACTAACGTTGAACTTGTGATCCTCTTACCTCAGCCCTCAGAGTAGCTGGAATTACAGCTGTGCACCTAATCCCTCAATGCATTTTTGTAAAAAACAAAACAAAACAAAACAGACAAACCAAAAACCAATATTTTAAAATTGAATACATGTGAAAATCTACAGAATGAATGAGGATGTAGCTCAGTGGCAGAGGGCTTGCCTAGTATTTTCAGGCCCTGGATTTGAGTTCCAGCACTGAAAACAAAAAACAAAAAACAAAAAAACTTTACCGTGGCTGGG